AACCAAAGACCCAGTAACGGCATTGCAATACCAGCCTCCGTCAAGTTCCCTATTCATATGCCCCTACAAGGGTTCATTTCCACTAAAGGAAGTGACCTCTGGCAAACTACCGTTTGAGAATCCCGAGCTGCGCCAGAACACCATTCCTGGGACTTCAGCGCCGCGAATCACCGTTACGATTGCGTCTTGACGATCCTGAATCGTAGCAGAACGTCAATCAACGTAACTGTTGCACCCTGACAGTCCGACATCGCGCCCAAATACCATTTCTGGGACGTTCGCCGTGCGAATATGTGAAGCTGCTGCTGACTCTGAAACGGATGTGCGCGGCGCTAAGGCGAGAGCCACAGTTTGAAAACGACCCGCCCTCAATCCGTGACGCTCTTATACAATGTTGGCAGAGGAATGTGCGCGACGCTAAGGCGAGAGCCACATTTTGAAGACGACCTTTCCTCTATTCGTGAAGGTCTTGTTGTCTTTGTAAGACGACTGTGCGCGGCGTTGAGGCGAGATCCACATGCCGAAAACGACCAGTCCTCCATCCGTGAAGCTTTTGCAGTTTTTGTAAGACTAATGTGCGCGGCGCTAAGGCGAGTGCTACATTTCATGATTGACCTGTCTTCCATCCGTGATGCGCTGGTATTTTTCAGCTGATGTGCGCGGGGCGAAGGCGAGAACCACAGTTTCTCAGGCGGAATGCCCAGCCCGCCCTTTTGATCGGCCCGGGGCTGCGGCAGGCAGGAGTTATTCACAAGGAAAAGGAATGGAGGGAGGAGCTGGAGGAGGGGGAGAAGGTGAAGGCGGAGGGTGGAGGAGTTCGCATGGGGATGTTGAGAGGAGGAGCAAACGGAACAGGTACAGGGATGATGAGGAGGGGGAGGAAGAGGGGGATGAGAAGGAGTACGAGGAACGAGGAGGAGGAGGACGATGAGGAGGATAGAACAGGTGTAAAAAGAGGAGGAGAAGGAAGAGGACGAGGAGGAGGAGGAGGAGGAGGAGGAGGAGCTGGGAGTGGGAGTGGAGGTGGAGGTGAGGGTGGAGTTGGAGGCGGAGGTGGAAAGGAAGGAAAAACGAAAGGAGGCAGAGGAGAAGGAGAAGGAGGAGGAGGAGGAGGAGGAGGGGGGAGGGAGGGAGGAGAAGGCAGGATGCGAGGAGGAGGAGGAGGACGAGTGCGAGGGCGATGACGAGGAGGAGAAGGAGGAGGATGAGGAGGAGGAAGAGGAGGAAGAGAAGGAGCCGGAGGAGGAGGAGGTGCAGGAGGAGGAGGAGGTGCAGGAGGAGGAGGAGGAGAGAGGAAAGAGTAGGATGATGATGATGATGATGATGATGATGATGATGATGATGATGATGATGGTGGTGATGTTGATCAGGATGATGATGCTGCTGCTGATGATGGTTATGATGAAGATGCTGCTGATGATTATGCTGATGATGCTTGTGATGTTGATTATGCAGATGATGATGTTGACGATGACGATGCTGATGCTGCCGATGATGATAGTGATGCTGATGCTGACGATGATGTTGGTGATGATGCTGGTGGTGCTGATTATGACGAAGATGCAGCTGCTGATGATTATGATGCTGCTAGTGCTGATGATGATGCTGATGGTGCTGCTTCTGATCATGCTGATGACTAGGATAATGTTGATCATGCTGCTGCTGATGCTGATGTTCATGATGCTACTGATGGACATGATGATGGTGGTGATGCTCATGATGATGCTGCTGATGATGATGGTGACGATGATGGTCATGTTGATTGTGATGTTGATGGAGATGACGGGGATGATGCTGATTGTGGTGATGATTGGCGATGCTGATGTTGATGATTCTGTTGATGATGATGGCGAGGGTGATGGTGATGGTGCTGGTAATGACGACGATGATGGTGATGCTTGGTGATGGTGCTGCTCATGCTGGTGCTGATGGTGATTATGATGTTGGTGGCGGTGACGATGATGGTGCTGCTGTTGATGGTGATGCTGATGCTGCTGATGATGACTAGGACCAGGATGGCGACGACGATGATGGCTATGCTGATAATGATGATGCTGATGGTGGTGCTTATTGTGATAGTGGTAATGCTGCTGATGATGAGGTTGCTGATGATGATGATTGTGATGGTGATGCTGATGCGTATGAGGATGATGATGTTTATGATGCTGAGGGTGATTTTGATGATAATGGTGATACTGATGATGATGACGATGCTGATGCTGCTGATGATGATGGTGATGCTGATGCTGACGATGATGGTGCTCCTGATGCTGGTTACACTGATTATGACGAAGATGCAGCTGCTGATGATTATGAAGATGCTAGTGTTGATGATGATGCTGATGATGCTGGTTCTGATCATGGGGATGACTGTGATGATTTTGATCATGCTGCTGCTGATGCTGATGTTCATGATGCTACTGATGGAAATGATGCTGATGCTGATGATGATGGTGATGCAGTCGGCCCGGATTAGTAGGTCGACCCTGCCAAGTCAAGGGTACCTTCGTGTCCTGCGTCTCGCGACCCATGCTTCCTACACTCCTGTGGCAATGTGGCCCTCGGAAGGGTCTTGTGTCCTCTCGCGTGTCCTGTCCAATGAAGTCCGACTGTACTCATCATGATGATGCTGCTGCTGATGATGGTGATGGTGATGGTCATGTCGATGGTGATGGTGATGGTGATGACGGCGATGATGCTGAGTGTGGTGATGATCGGTGATGCTGATATTGATGATGATGCTGATGATGATGGCGATGGTGATGGTGATGGTGCTGGTGATGACGATGATGGTGATGATTGGTGATGGTGATGCGGGCGCTGGTGGTGATGGTGATTATGATGTAGGTGGTGGTGACGATGATAATGCTGCTGTTGCTGATCATGCTGATGCTGCTGATGATGACTAGGACCAGGATGACGACGACGATGATGGCTATGCAGATGATGATGCGGAGGATGGTGCTGATGGTGATGCTGCTGCATATTATGAATATGATGATGCTGTTGCGGCTGTTGATGATGATGTTGGTGATGTTGATGCTGGTGGTGCTGACGATGATGGTGATGATGATGCTGATGATGCTGATGCTGATGATGCTGCTGATGATGATGATACAATGTCTGATATTTAATCGCTTCGCTCATTCCGCCGGCCCGTATTGTGCCATCGCAGGCGTTTGCTTGCGCGTTCGTGGCCTCTTGGAGCCTCGTTGGGTCCGTTTGGGGCCTCTTGGCGCCTCTTTTTAGGCCTCTTGGAGAACTCGGGAGGCCTCCAGGGGGCCTCCTGAGCTCTCGTGACGGTCTCTTGGGGGGCTTTCGGCGGGCTCTTGGCGGTATTTGTTGGTCCTCTTGGGGCCTGGGGCCTGACGTTGTTGGTCCTCTTGGGGCCTCACGGGAGCTTATTGGGGCGTCTTGGGGGTGTCTTGGAGAGTCTCTTGGGGCCTCTTTCGGGGTCCTGGGCGCCTTCTGGGGCGGAGGGCTCGATTTTTCAGTTCTCGGTTCCCTTCTTGAGCCCCTCTTGGGCCCGTCTTGGGGCCTCTTGGTCCGCCTTGGGCAGCACTTGGGCCGTCTGGGGGGCGCTCTTGGGCCGCTCCGGGGCCGTCTTGGGAGCCTCGTGGGCCGTCTTGGAGCAGTCTTGAAGGCCTCTTGGGCCCTCTTGGAGCGTCCGGAAGCGAAAAGGCCAGAACGCAAAAAAACATCGAAAAAACCAATGAAAATCAACGATTTTGGCAACTTGGGGCCCTCTTCGGAGGCCTCTTGGAAGGCCCTTGGAGCGTCTTGGAGGCCTCTTGGGCTGTCTTGGGGCCATCTGGGGCGTCTTCGGGCGATCTTTGGCCGTCTCGGGCCTCTCTGGGACCGTCTAGAAAGCTTCTCGGGGCCCTCTTGGACCGATCTGGAGCCCTCTTGGACTCCGAAACAGAACTCCGGCATCTCTGACCCGACCTTGCCGGGACCTTGCCGGGGACTTGCCGGGGACTTGCCAGGGACTTGCCGGGACCTTGCCATTTCTGAAGATGATGCTGATGCGTATGCTGTTGCGGATGTTACTGATGATGACGATGATGATTAATTATATGAGGATGGTGTGATGGTGATGATGTTGTTGTTGATGATGACCCTCATGGTGATGATGATGATGATGATGCTTCTGAAGATGCGGATGATGATGCTGCTGCTGATGATCACGATGTTGGTGGTGTTGGTGATGGTGAGGAGGAGGAGGGCGAGCAGGAGAAGGTGGAGCAGGAGGAGGAAGAGAAGGATGAGCAGGAGGAGAGAAAGAGGAGGAGGAGGAGCAGGAGGAGGAGCAGGAGGAGGAGGAGGAGGAGGAGAAGGACGAGGACCAGGACGATAAGGAGGAGGAGGAGGAGCAGGAGGAGGAGGGAGGTGTACAAGCAGTAGGACGAGAGGATGAGGAGGAGGAGGAGGAGGAGGAGGAGAAGGAGGAGGCGGAGGAGAAGGACGTGGTGGAGGAGGAGGAGGGAACAGGAGGAGGAGGACGAGGAGGAGGAGGAGGAGGGAGGAGCGAGCAGGAGGGGGACGGAGGAGGGGCATGAGAAGGAGGAGCAGGAGAAGGAGGAGAGGAGGAGGAAGAGGAGGAGGAGGAGGAGGAGGAGGAGGAGAGAAAGTGGAGGAGGAGGAAAGTGGAGGAGGAGGAGGAGGAAGAGGACAGGAGGAGAAGGAGGAGGAGGATGAGCATGAGGAGGAGGAGGGAGGTGTACAAGCAGCAGGACGAGAGTATGAGGAGGAGAGGAGGAGGAGGAGAGGAGGAGAAGAAGCAGGAGGAGGCGGAGGAAGAGGACGTGGTGGAGGAGGAGGAGGAGGAGGAGGAAAAGGAGGAGGAGGAGGAGGAGGAGGAGGAGGAGAGGAGAGGAGGAGGAGGAGGAGGAGGGGGGGGAGGAGGGAGGGAGGAGCGAGCAGGAGGGGGACGGAGGACGAGGAGGAAGACGAGGAGGAGGTGGAGGAGGAGGCGGACGCCTCCCTCCCCCCTCTAGCAGGGCCAGCAGCCCTCGTGCCCGACGTGCCGTGGGGCGCTGCAGATGAACCGGCGGAACCTGCGGGACTTCCTGCGGCAAGCGCCTTCGCCGGGCTCCGCGCCCTCAGGACGTCGCCGTCGTCGGCGTCGGCGCCCTCGGGAGGGAGGGAGCACGATGGCCATTACGGTCAGGAACTTTGGCTTCGTGTGTCGCTCCGCCGGTTCTGGCCCGCGGCGTCTTGGCGCGACATGCTATTCTGGATTTCACAATACAAGGGGGCGGGCCTGATTTTGGTGGAGGGTTTTGGGGGGTCTGGGCAAAAGGCCGCCTTTCCATGGCTGGCTTGGGGAGGGTCTACGATTGCTTGTCCGGGAGGGTTGTGGCCCCCTCCCTTTTATGACGAGATTTGGAGTATCCCCTTCCCTGTCCTCGGGCTTCAGCGTCCCGAGCTTTTCCCAGCATCCCGCCCCGACGCCAGCCGTTCGCAGGGCATGCGTACTGTGTCGCGGGGGCCGCCGCAGCGGCACGCTGGGCAAACGTGCCCGACAATAGTTATCAGGCCGAGAGCGGTGTGACGTATACTTTTCCGCGATCGGGGGCGCCTGTCCCAGGCCGGCTGGAAGGTTTACGCGTCGGTCGTTGGAAAAAGGTGTTTTTTGGTATCCTCGTCTTCTTCCTCCCTCTTGCACGCTGGAACATTAGCCTCTCGATTGCCCCGAATGGCCACACGCTGGAGCGGCCTGTCTCTGCCTCGCCGCCGACGAAGAACAAACGTTCGAACATTCAGATCCCAATCTGCTTCAAGCGCCTTCCTATTTCAAGAGCCGGTATGCTTCTGACGTGTGCTTCGTTATTCTCTGGGGGAGCCTGAGCCCAATCTACTTGATCCGCCTTCCTACTTCATGTCTTGACCTACTTCTTCCGACCGACGTGTATACCCACACGGTGACATGCGGGGGTGGTAACTTTCAAGAGCCGCCCTGGGACAGGCGCCCCCGATCGCGGAGCAGTTAATTTCATACCGCTCCTCTCCCGCGAAATGACCAAGGCGTCGCAGGATCGTTCAGGAGGGCGCAATTACGTAATCGTCGACCCCCAGGAAAGTATGGGAAAATATGGGAAGTGGGGGGGAAGACGAGCCCTCGGGAACTATGCAACAACAAATGGGACAGATGCAACAAACAAGCAATGCAACAAACAAATATGCAATATGTGTGTCCCTGGGCCCCTTCAATCTTATCGACGCCGATCTGGGTCGTGGTCCCTGCCCGCTGTCGCCGATGGGCGAAGATGTTCCACGACTTGGCTCGTGACCAAGATTTGGCGGCAAGCGAGGGGGGGAAGGGAGAAGGAGACGGCCCTCTCAGAAGGTGGCGTGACTTCTGACAAGCCCTCGCGCCTTCTGGGAAGTTTCCTGTGCCTTCGGGGAAGGCTTAGAAAACTTCTCGGAAGGCCGGGGGGCTTCCGAGCCTTCTGAGAAGGCCCGCCCCTTCTCACTTCCCCCCCCTCGCTCGCCGCCGAAAGATGGCCGATGACCAAGACCGTCACCGACGTTTCCGTGTTCAGTTTTGGGTCATGGTCATCATCTTCTGTCCCTGCATCCTCGTCGTCGACGTCGCCGTCGCCGTCGCCGTGGTCGTCGTCGCCGCTGCTGCTGCTCATCCATCTCCCTCCATCGCAGGGTCCGTGTCGATCCGATCGGTCCGATTCTAGATCGAGTCCGGGCGCGGCCGAGTCGGCCCCCTCCTGGTGTCGTGGATCGGCGCGTCCCGATCCGATGCCTCTGCCGCTCGAGCTCCTCGAGGCCCCGAGCCCCGGGCGGGGAGCGCGCACCGATATGGCCCCCCCGCCGTGGGAAGCCCGTCGGCGCGCCGCACGCCCTCGGCCTCGTCCGAGGGCCCAGTGGATCCCCGCGGGTTTCTCCACGGCGGCGTGCCAGGGATGCGGTGGGGGCCTTCGCTCGTCCAGGCCTCCCGCATGGGGTCCGAGCAAGTGGGGTCGGAGGATGGCGCTGCACCGGCCATGCATCATTCATGCGGTGGAGGCGTCCGTGAGCCTAGGCCTCCCAGGCAGGGTCCGAGCAAATGGGGTCGGAGGTTCGCGCCGCATCGACGATGCATCGCCGATGCGGCTCCACGTGGAGCCCGAGTTTCTCCACGCAGGCGGCGCCGATGCATCGCCGACGTCGCCAAGGTATCGCGACTGCACCGGCGATGCATTGGCAATGCATCGGCGATGCAGGTGAGTTCAGACCCAGAAGGAAGGATTCCTTATCTGATGGGGGCTGCGGTGACTGATGTCCACGCCCCCTCCACGACGGGTGTTCCACCGGCTTCCAGACGCTGGGTTCCTTACCCAATGGGTTCTTCTGGGGAGAGGGTTTCGTCATCGTCGGCCCGACTTTTCTTCTTCAGCGGCGGCATCGGCGGTGGCGACAGCGATGGCGACGGCGACCGCGACGGCGACGGCGACGGCGACTGCGACGGCGACGGCGACGGCGACGGCGACGGCGACGACGACGACCGTGACGGCGACGACGAGTAGTACGAAGACGACGGCGACGGCGACGAAGACGGCGACGAAGACGACGACGACGATGACGACGACGACGATGACGACCCCTGCCCGAGATCCGATGCTGACCGGCCCTGCCCCCCGCGCCCCACCCCTCCGGGGCTCGGCTAGCGCGCCCGAGCGCCCGAGCGCTTCGCCCGCCGAGAGAGGGGGGGCCGCGGAGAGCGGGCGCGGGGGGGGGGGGGGCACGCCGCCCCTCCCGTGCCACCGGCAGGGGCTCGGCATCGCTCGGGCGTGTGCATGCTTCCTTCGGCGAGGACCATCGAGGAGCATCCTTGATCATTTGGCGGTTTCCTGTGCTCATATTCCTTTATTCGCCTTTGGCCACTGTCGATTTCTGCGGCTGTCGAGCCTCGCAGCCGTACGATGTGAGTTGTGATAGCCCCCTTGAGGGGAGACGGATTGTATACGGTTTCGGAGCAAGGGCAGAGGCTCGTGGGTGTTTGCTGGAGGAACAAAGAAAATCCTGGATCACCTGTCGAAGGAAATCCACGCACGAGACCGGAGAACAAAACGGGGGAAGGGACGTCCGAGCGATGGCCAGGGGGGGGGGGGGCGACAGGGCTGTGTCGAGAAGCCGCTCCACCTCCGCCGCCTCGGTGGGGCTGCAGTGCGGTCGACCCGCACGGTGAGGATGGGCAACCTTCCCACGGGCTCCCTTGCATCCCTCCCTCCTCGGCCCATCCCTGGCCACTTTCGTTGGCCGCGCCCCGCTCGAGAAGCCTCGGAATGTGCGCCCGAGGCCCTCGCGTCCCTTTACCACCCATCCTCGCGCTACGGGCCGACGGTAGCTGGAGTTCACGGTGCACGTCGCCGCGCCGTTTGCTCCTTATGCGCGGCCTTCCGTCCCGGGGAGGGCGCCGCGGCCACCGGGGCCACCTCCGCCGCGGACGCGGCGAGGGCAGACGGCGCGGCGGCGTGGCCGCCGCAGGACACGCGCGGGGGCCGAGGGAACGCTCGGCGCCGCCCGGCAGGGGAGGCCCCGGGGCCATCGAAGCAGCGCTGCAGCGCCGGGGTGGTCCTCCTCCTCCTCCTCCTCCTCCTCCTCCTCCTCCTCCTCCTCCTCCTCCTCCTCCTCCTCCTCCTCCTGGGGGGTCCCGCCCCAGGGCGGGGGGGGGGGAGGAGGCAGCTGGGCCCCTGCCCCTGCAGCAGCGGCCGACCACTCCCCCCCCCCCTCCGAGCCCCGGACTTGCCATATGGGCAGGCGTGGCGTGCGGGAGTGCGGGCGTCGGGCTTTTTCCGGCCCCTGCCTCTCCGGGAGCGCTGGCTCGGTGCTGCAAGGCTGCGGGCGGAGGGGGCCACGCGAAGTGCTGCGCCGATGCTTGCTGCAAAGTTTCCCCTTCAAGAGGATTGGCTCAGGGGGGCGACGGGTTCGAGGCACGAGGTGTTCGGGTTCTCGGCGGTCTCCCATCCCGGGGATGCTCGCCAGCAGCCGCGCCTCGCCGAGAGTACTCCCGGAGGTGCCGAGGTCGTCCCGAGCGGTCGCTGGAGGCCCTGAAAACGAGTGGAGACGGGGATTGGCTCGGGGAGGGGAGCATCGACCCCCGATCGCCCATCCATCGCCGATGGGGACCTTGTAGCCCCCACCCCACTCAGTAATGTGCGGATTTCGCGATCGGGACCCATCGCCAATCTACCGGCGATGTACATCGCTGATTCGAGCTCGATGCGTCCGCCCCACCTGAGCGGGTCCTCCCTATCGTTTCCCCTCATCTCCTCCTTCTTCTGCAGCACCTCCAGGCTGTCGAGGCCATGGCGCCCGCTTGTCGCTTCGCTTCCAGCGCCAGAGCCGACGGGGTGGTGCCACCTCGCTCGCGCTGCCTTTGCCGGTGCAGGCTCAACAGAGGGCACCGAACAAGCTGTCGGTCCCCTACGGTGGGGGCGTTCGTTAAGGAATGTGCCCAGGAGGCTTCAGAGTCTGGAGGACTCCTTAATTGATGAGGGCGGCGGTGATATCCATGGCCAACCCGCGATTGGTTTTCCACCAGCTTCCAGACCCTGGGCTCCTTATGTATCTAAGGGTTCCTTGTCCAATGTCAGGAGCGAAAGAAGGACGGACACGTACATGAGTCCATGCTGGTTTCGAGAGTACGCATTGCCCGAACGTTCGTATCACGCGGCCAGTCTCGCGGATCGAGGGGCCGTGTCCGTGTACATAGCTGGGCGCGTACGTCCTTTGTGGGCTCCCTACAATGCCCCAACCGTAGCTCGGCGGAGAAGACGTGCGCACGCGGGGGTGGGCCTGCGGTCGGGAGCTCTGGCTTCTAGCGTCTCGCGCCGCCGGGTCCTGGCCCCCACCACGCCCCGGCACGACACGCTGCCCGCACCCCCCGGCTCTCCTCGGCATCGCTCGGACGCGTGCATGCTTGCCGCGGCGAGGACCACTGCACCTTGGGTCCTTCTCGGGAAAGAAGCGAAACGCACGACATCGAAACTCGGGGGTGGACAGACCTCCTACCCTGACGCGTCGATTCAGGAATTGGCCGTGTTCGCTTCGCGAGAGGGCGCCGCGGCCGTCGCTCTTGTGGGTGCGGGTCCGTCGGCTTCGGCCCCGCAGGCCGTTTTCCTGAAGGGGGGGTTTGCTAGAGGGAGGCTTGCCCACCGCCGCGAAGCATGCCAGGGGCAAGGGGCGCGGCCGCCCCGAGCGATGGCGAGCCTCCGGGCGCCGGCGCCCCTCTGTTATGAGGCCGTTGTATATAGGAGAGGGAACAGAGGACAGAGTGTTTACACAGTTTTAAGGAATTAGTGAACTCAGCATGGGTCGGGCTTGAAGTGCCTCGAAGAAAGCGCGCGCCCGGAGGCCCTCCGGGCGCCGACGCCCCGAGCCCCGCCGGGCCTCCCGCCCCCGCGGCGCGGGGCACGGCGTGGCCGCCGCCCGCGGCGCGCCGAGAGCACGGCGCTCCCGGGCGTGGTGCCTCGCCTGCGCGACGCGCGCGCGCGCTTCTCTCGGGGGAGCGTAAGACCCGGGTTTGCCGGGACTCGGGTTCGCCATCGTTTTTTGACGACCGCGCCTCGGATTTTGACGAGGAGGAGTTTCGTGGGATGTCTGCAGCGGGAGGCCTCGTCAAAATGCAGGCTCGGCCTCGTCACTTTTTTGACGACCTCGTCTGGGATTTCCGAGTCCCCTGTACCCAGGTCTTACGTCCCCTTGATTCTCCGCCGCCCGCGCCGGAGGGATCCGCGAGGCCCGCGGTGGAAGGAGAGCAAGCCACATGAGCATCAGCTGTTGGCGCTCCGCGCGGAGTTCCTGGATCGGTTTCCGCGGCGCGGCTGGGGCGCCCCATCGAGTCCCCCCCCCCATTGTTGTTTGACGAGGCCCGTTGGGCCCTCCAAGAAGAAGCTCACTCCCCATTATTGGGAGATCTGGAGTGCCCTTGCACATCCGTCGTTCGAGTGCATCAGCGTCGATAAGCGTGTGGTAATCGATGAGATCGCGCCGATGAGCGTCGGCAAGCGTCGATCCAGCGTCGAGTAGCATCGATTAGCGTCGACTCAGAAGAGCCAACAAGATGTTATGGGAGGCTCTCATGAGTTGCCGCAGAAGGCTACGCCCACTCCCCATCATCGCCCTCCACAGGATGAGGAGGGGGGGGCAAAACAAATCTTTGTCGCCTTCGCCATCACTATCAGCGTCGCCGTCGTCCTGTTCGTCTTCTTCGACGTCGTCGTCGGTATCGTCTTTGTCTTCGGTAGCGCCGTCGGCATCGTCGTCGCCGTCGTCGCCGTCGCTGGAGAAGGAGGAGGCGTCGTAGTCGGAGGTGTCTTCATCAGCGTCGACGTCGGCATCGGTGTCGTCCTCGTTGCCGTCCTCGTCGCCGTCATGGTCGCTGTCGTCGTCGCAGCAGACCGTCCTCCCCCTCCCCCTCCGCCTCCTCTTCCGGGAGCGGCAGGATCGCGGGAGCGTGACCCCGTCGGGGCCGGCCGGGACCGGCCCCTGTCCAGCGAGCATTCGAGCATCCTGGAGTCCATGCTGGAGCAGGTCGACGACGACGACTGCGAGTGGAGTGAGGTTTCTCTCTCTCTCTCTCTTTTCACTCGGCCTTGGGGAAGGGGAGGAGGTGGGAGGAGGGAAGAGGCGAAGGAGGTGGGTGAGAAGGAGGAGGAGAAGAAGGATGAGGAGGAGGATGGGTTGAGGAGAACGGTCCTGGAAGAGGAGGGTAGATAATAAGGAGAGAGGAGGAAGAGGATGAGGATGAGGATGAGGAGGAGGAAGAGGAGCAGGAGGAGGAGGAGGAGGAGGGTCCTACAGGCGAGGGTGGATGGAGTTTTTCCCCATATCCTAAGGATTGGGGTTCTTGTTATTACTCTGACGCCTCCCACTCCTCCTCCTCCTTCTTCCTCCCGCTCGCGCCTCCCTCCTCCCAATGATAATCACCAGATAAGACAAGACAAGATAAGATACTACAAGATAAGATAAGATAGCACAATATATATGATAAGAAGAGATTTCAAGATAAGGTAAGATAAGTTAAGCTCACACTCACACTCTCTCATGATCACAAAACGCTGCCAGGGGCATCATTTGGGAGCCCCAAGGGGGAGCCACCCTGGCTGATCTCACGAGCCCGTTCGCGCCGATTTTGGTGGGACGTCTCAGCTAGAATTGCCGTTTGGCGCCCCCAACATGTATCTCTTGAGAGCCTCATGGTCACAAAACGCTGCCAGGGGCATCATTTGGGAGCCCCAAGGGGGAGCCACCCTGGCTGATCTCACGAGCCCGTTCGCGCCGATTTTGGTGGGACGTCTCAGCTAGAATTGCCGTTTGGCGCCCCGAACATGTATCTCTTGAGGGGCTCATGGTCACAAAACGCTGCCAGGGGCATCATTTGGGAGCCCCAAGGGGGAGCCACCCTGGCTGATCTCACGAGCCCGTTCGCGCCGATGTTGGTGGGACGTCTCAGCTAGAATTGCCGTTTGGCGCCCCGAACATGCATCTCTTGAGAGCCTCATGGTCGCAAAACGTTGCCAGGGGCATCATTTGGGAGCCCCAAGGGGGAGCCACCCTGGCTGTTCTCACGAGCCCGTTCGCGCCGATTTTGGTGGGACGTCTCAGCTAGAATTGCCGTTTGGCGCCCCGAACATGTATCTCTTGAGGGGCTCATGGTCACAAAACGCTGCCAGGGGCATCATTTGGGAGCCCCAAGGGGGAGCCACCCTGGCTGTTCTCACGAGCCCGTTCGCGCCGATTTTGGTGGGACGTCTCAGCTAGAATTGCCGTTTGGCGCCCCGAACATGTATCTCTTGAGAGCCTCATGGTCACAAAACGCTGCCAGGGGCATCATTTGGGAGCCCCAAGGGGGAGCCACCCTGGCTGATCTCACGAGCCCGTTCGCGCCGATTTTGGTGGGACGTCTCAGCTAGAATTGCCGTTTGGCGCCCCCAACATGTATCTCTTGAGAGCCTCATGGTCACAAAACGCTGCCAGGGGCATCATTTGGGAGCCCCAAGGGGGAGCCACCCTGGCTGATCTCACGAGCCCGTTCGCGCCGATTTTGGTGGGACGTCTCAGCTAGAATTGCCGTTTGGCGCCCCCAACATGTATCTCTTGAGAGCCTCATGGTCGCAAAACGCTGCCAGGGGCATCATTTGGGAGCCCCAAGGGGGAGCCACCCTGGCTGATCTCACGAGCCCGTTCGCGCCGATTTTGGTGGGACGCCTCAGCTAGAATTGCCGTTTGGCTTCCCCAACGTGTATCTCTTGAGAGCCTCATGGTCACAAAACGCTGCCAGGGGCATCATTTGGGAGCCCCAAGGGGGAGCCACCCTGGCTGATCTCACGAGCCCGTGACGAGAGAGAGAGAGAGAGAGAGAGAGAGAGAGAGAGAGAGAGAGAGCAAGAGAGAGAGAGAGAGAGAGAGGAAGCGAGAGAGAGGGAGAGGAGAGAGAGAGAGAGAGAGAGAGAGAGAGAGAGAGGAGAGAGGAGAGAGGAGAGAGGAGAGAGAGAGAGAGAGAGAGAGAGAGAGAGAGAGAGAGAGAGAGAGAGAGAGAGAGCGGACAAGTAGGCGGACCAGGGTCCGTCCGCGAGGCGCACTGCGGTGCGACAACTCGCATGCACTATTTGCGGCGGTGCAGCCTTTAGATACGAGGGCGGGCAACAAAAAACCCCTCCCCCGGCGCAGTGCGACAGACGCTACAGACGGCGGACAGACGATGATGATCTCACCTGTCAGACCGCGTAAGGAAAGAGGCCCCAACAAGAAAGGCGACGTGCTGACACGTGGCTAGGCGGCTTGGCAGACCGCCAGTTGGGCGCTTGGCCGCTAAGCGGCGCGCAGTGACGGGGCACCCCCCGCCCCCACGCCCTGACACCGTGGACGCGGAGCCACGCGTACACACGGGCAGGCAGAAAGGAGGAGATTAGCGCGGGGCACCAGGTGGAGCGCCGCGGAACGATGACAGCATAGCTTGGATGGTGAGTGACGGCACGGCACCATCGGGCGAGGCCGTGAGCAGCTCGGCAAAGGCTCGCCCAGCGCTGTGGAGGCGCTGGAGTAGAGGGCCTTGGCGAGCTTGGGCGGCGGCGAGGTCCGCGGCGAGAGCAACGCACCTCTGCTGGAGAGCAGCCATAGCCTGGGACAGCTCGGTTTCGCGGTCGGTGAGGGGTGGCTGCTCAGTGCCAGCAGCCGAGAGCCTCGAGACAGAGGCGAGGTCCTCGGTACGCCTGTCCAAATGGTGGACTAGCGTAGTGCGGCACCCTGTACGCTGTCGTCCGTCACCCTTGAAGGGTGACTGGAGGGGCACACGCGACCCCAGGGCTGGAGCCGCTAGGGCCACGCCCCGAGAGGTCGGGAGAGCCGCTTCCTCTCGCTCAGCAACGATGGAAGCGTGGACGGGGCACGAGGGCCTGTCTGGTTTAGTGCCCTGCGGGGGGGCTGAAGCCGCCCCCGCGGGCTGTCGCCGGTGGGGGGGCGGAGTGGTTTGCGCGGTGGGACCAATCATGATGCCGTGCAAGGGCTCTGAGGTCGGTCGCGTAGAAGGTTGGCGTCTCGGTAGGGCGGCATGGTCGGCAGCGTGTGGTATCGGCGGTGCGTCCTCTATGCCACTCAGTCCGCGGGGGTCACCCAGGTCGTGGTCGGCGTCTTGGCGGTGGCCGATATCATCGTATGTGGGCGATGTCGCTCTCGGGGACGGAGTCGCAGTAGGGATCGAGAGGTTGCCCGACGGGGCAGGGTTTTCGCTGGCTGGTCCGTCGTCCAAAGCGTCCGATCCCCCACCGAAGCTGAACAGGTCATCCTCCTGTTCGTCAGCGTCTTGAAAGTGAGCGGCGTTGTCATGTGGGTGCGCTGCCGCTCTCAATGGCGGAGTCGAGGGCGCCGTGCGGGTGCCCGACGGGGCAGGGTTGGCGCTGGCTGGCCCGTCGCCCAGGAAGTCAAGGCCCCCACCAAAGCCGAACGGGTCGTCCTCCTGTTCGTCGAATATCGCCCGTTGGGCCTCGGCCCAGAGCTCGTCCGGGTTCTGTGGGATGTCTGGTCCAGCCGCGGGTGGTGCCTGGTCAGACAGCAGGGGATTTGGTTCCATTTTGTTGAGTTCCGCAGCTGTGAACCCAGCCCTGCGGTGTGGGAGGGGGAGTGTGCGGTGTCTACGCTCGTAGATGGCGACAGCGACTCCATGAAGCACGGTCGCTTGGCGATGTCGTGTTTTGGCAGCTTCGACAATGTCGTCTGGAAGGTTATGAGTGCGTGCCGCCGTTGTGGCGAGGGCGTCAGCCTGACGATTGAACTCCTCCGCGATGGGCCCGATGAGCCCGAGGTCGATGCCCATGTCGCCCAGGTGGCTTGCGATTTTCTCGACGCGGAACATGTTGGGCTTGGCCATGACGCATCGGTGGATCTTTTCCCAGAGCTCCGCGTGCGTGCCCTGCGGTGGTGAGTGTCCGTCGATGATACTTTGGAACCCATCGACCACCGCCTGGTTGTCCACGAAAACGTGTACGGGCCGTTCAGCACATGCCGTGAGGTGGACAATGGCGAGGGTCTCCGCAAGCTGTGCGTTCTGCGTAATGCCGTGAACGCGTGCACTGTAGTTCATGCGGTGGTCGATGCCGTAGTAGACGCCGTAGCCCGCTCGTGCTAGCAATGGGATGGCTTGGTTGGTGCATGCACCGTCCGTGGCAGCGTAGACCCATGTCCAACCAGTGTCGTGGTCAAGGTAGGTGGTGTAGGAGTCCTGGGCTGAAGCCGCAGGATCTCCCTCAGGTGGGGGCCGCGGTATGGGCTGAGGTAGCGGGTCCCTCGCGAGGTCGGCCTGCAGGTCGAGGAGGGCTGGGTCTTCATCGAAGAGCCCGCAGTGTCTTGTGTGCGGCGGAAGACGGGCCCACTGCTCGTCACTGATGAGGGTGGTGAGAGGGACTCTTTCTCGGGCCCAGCACTTGCAGTCGCGAACAGTGTGCTCCTGAGTTTCCTCTTCCTCGTCGCAGTATCGGCAGATGGGGCTGGGGTCAGCAGACGTGTTTGATCGGGATCGTCGCTGTTGGGTGTGGTCCCCGCCCGACAGGTAGTTCAGGAGGAGCGCCAGCTGCCAGGCATTGCATTTGGCTGCTCCTTTCGTTCGGGCGAGCCACGTGCTGGCGAAGAGGTCGAGGCCCTGTCTGACAGAGGCAAGGTGTCCAAGGTCATGACGCCGTGGCTTGATCTTTCTCAGAAAGGCTCTGCGTTGTGAGGCTCGCAGCATGTGAAGGAAGGCGTTTTGGGGTAAGTTCAGCCAACTGATCTGACAGCCCCAGTCGTCGTACATGATGCCAAATGTGGGCCAGGTCCAACGGAGCTGCTGAAGCGTCTGGACAAGTCGTCCGACAGGTCCTCCCCCAAATAGGGTCTGAACATGGTGTTGGAGATCCCTGACGAGACCGCAGAGAGTAGCGTCGCGGTTAACCTGTCGCCGCAGACACAGGAAGACTTCACGCTGCGTAATGGCGTCAATCTCCAGGGCGTGTCCTGGGACGCACACGGCCATGAGAGTCCAAAACTCGACCCACCTGTTTCCCTTGGGGCGGATAGCCGCCTTAAGGGCA